AAGTGTTAACATATAGTAGACATATGACATTTTCCTCTTCAACCTCCAATCTGCAGTCACGAAGGTTATCATTCATAACAGTACGTTCAACATACCTCTCCATTAAACATGATTCAATGGCAATTGTATTAAAGAATGAGAAGTAGGTAAATCACAGAATTTTGTTTATTAATATCTGATTTAAGGTAGACTTTATTGTGTAGTTCAATGAGCAAACTTTTATTGTGTAGTTCGATGTCTGTCACCTTTGATATGCCTATCTATAGTATTTCATTGAAATAATAACTCAGACTAAAGAAATACTAATGTAAATGGGATAAGAGTTACATGTCATTTCTGACCCATTCACTAGCCTACACTTGCCGAGACTTAATCGATCTATAACATTACGAGACAAGCTTAAATGTTGTAAAAATATCAGCTAATGACCGCTTAGCTATGACTGAAAATATTATGTTTTATATTACCCATTATTTAATACTTTATTTATTATATATATTTTTAGTGATAGCGAAATATGTATGTATCAATTTCAATTTGTGTTGAAATCATTAATCTGAAAGGTTGAAATAATAAAGTATTGAGAAAAATAAATTCAAGTCAAGTTCAAAGATAGATACCATCGCTCATTTAGACTGCTGATTTTTAGTGATCTTCATAAATTTTTAAGATCTGATATTATTAAAAGTTTAAGCGTGAAATCGCCCAACAGCCGGTATTGCGGCCAGAAGAGTCCTATTGTACCAGTTTCACTATAGAATCGCAATGCTCGTAGCTCAGTTTTTCTTTGCATAAATGCGAGTAGAGAACTTATGATCTGGAAGTCTATATGGTCGCTTATCCTATTTTCTATTTTGAAGCCATGTTTAGAAATGTTGTAAAATCTAATTTATATTTTATGCTCTTAGCTCATCCTTTCCTTTTTACGGATGTGAGTAAACAATTTGTGATTATGTAGAAAGGCATCGCACCAGAGTTTGGAGAAATAATGCGACTTTAATTAAATATTAAGTAAAATTAAAATTTTAAAAAAATTTTAAAAATTTGTAATTAAAAAAATAAAATTAATAGGTTTTATATATGAAGTTTTTGTAATATAGATACCTAGACAAATGTTGAAGAAAATTGAAGCAATAAAATCTTTTTCTATTAAGAGTTAAAGTACTATCCTTCTAGTAAGAGTACACCTTGCTGACTATCTTAACTATTTCTTACTTTTAAGAATCTTTAAGAATCTTTTACATTTGTTTGTTATACGCTTATATATACCATAGAATTTTTATTTAATTTAAATTATTTTTCTATAATTTTTTATTATCACAAGCTATTTTGCACCAAAAGTAAGTATTAAATATCAAATTTATGAAGTAACCTAAGCGTTTCATATGAAGAAGCAAACCCTTTTCAAAATCTCCTTAAAATGCTATATTTTGACCATTTTTGTGAATTTTACACTTTAAAGTAAACACAGTAATAAATTTTGTGTCTACACACATGCCAAATTTTAATTAATTTTGATAAAGGATACCAGATTTAATAATGCCCTATTTAAGCTTATTATTATATAAGCTCTCCGAAAAAGATATCAACAAGAAGAAAAATGACAAAGGTTAAAACTGAAACATAATTAACCAGTTTTGTTTCTATTTTTTTAAAAAAAATATCCTTCCTCACAATGTGTCAATGTATTTTTAACAATTATTATCCTATAATAGGATCTACTGATTCTGTGAAGAAATTTTATTCGTTCACATATCGGTAGTAAGTATGAGAGTACATAAATTTTTAAATGATACACTTTATCTTTAATTAGTGGTTAGTGATTTTTTAATTTATATCCTCTTTGTAACATAACCCATTGAATTAATTTTTAATTAATTATTAAGTTTCACATAATAAAGGTTTCTAGAAATTAAAATTTTTTCTAAAAAATTTTATGTAAAAATATTCATCTTCTAATAAACAACACAGACTTTCAAATAGCAATTTTCAAGCCTACAACTCAACCCGGGCTTACAACTATTAGAGACAACTCAACCGTTTATATCTCAAATTATATTCTTGAAGCAATTTTTTTTTAACATAAATAGAGTATTCCTTTTTAATACAGGAAAATATATTTTGTCTAGACTGCCAATGCAAACTTTGCCCATTTATTTTTAGATCCAAACTTGAAGATTGTCAAAGCGATTATAACAATGTTCGCATATTTAATTTAACTATATAAATAAAGTTTTATAACGATAATACGAAATAATTAGGTCACACAATAAGAAAACCATCGGATGCGTTTGCTTATACTGTCATGGAACGGAAACCCCAAAAAGTGAGAAGACTAGGTCGAACGAAAAGACTTGACGTAGGACAATAGCGAAACACGTTTTTCTGCTAGAAACAGGGACGAATGGAAATAATTTGTGAGAAATATTTATAAATAGACTAAGTGCAAGATTTATTTTGAGAACATGTCAAAATAATATTAATAATTGAAAGATTATATTCTTATACAGCTGTACAAGCCGCTACACAAATAGTTTTTTAATTATTCATTATACGACTATGCCTTTCGCCATCAATCGGAATATTCTTTCTTGTCTATAGAACCTTTTTTAGGAACGTAATATGGAGAAAGTCATGCTAATTATTATATTGAGGCTAGTTAAGCCAGTACACTTGAACACTTTTACTCTCTGTTAACTGCGAGGTTTCTTCATAACCCCTCTCTACGGGTTTTGACTGGTGTATTGTTTATAACTTTATCATATTAAGAAGGGTTTTCGAATAACAAAGAAAGAAATAAAGGACAAACACAAAAATTTATTTTTAATTTTATTGAAATTTGGCTGACCACACAACGCTGTTTCGAGTATTGCCAAGTACTCTTCATCAGTGGTCTTTGGGAATAATCGAATATTATTCAATTAGTTTATAGTCCGTATACAATTTGTTTAGACTGCAAGTGCCAGGCTTAGAACTCGTGCCTGTCAAATTAGAAGCGATGACTAATAGTGTTTATCCACAAAAAGCCAAGGCTGCACAAACTTTCAATGCTCAAGTTCCAGGTTTTATTGTCACTTATTTTAATTTAATTAGTGACAACAACCAAAGCACTTGCCGTGCTTTAAATTAGAACGAGCTTATAAACTACAGCTTTATTTTGGAAACACAAATTCAACGAATTGAAAGTTTAACTTTTGGGGTTTGCCTAATTCTTTATTTCTTTTCAAAGCTACTCTTTTTGTAGAGACATATTGTAATGCATATTGTTTTACTTACTATATGTAAAGCGACCATTCTGGTGCTTTTTACAAAGAAGCTATGCTATGTTATTCTACAAATCCGCTTTCGCGGTTAGGAAAAGTTGAACAATATTATATTTTAACATATTGTTCTTTACTTTTCACAAGCCTAATATTTGAATAAAGTATT